CTTTACAGTCTAGGCTTTAGGAAAATATTACATTTATCTGTGGATACTAAGGGTTTATGTTTGGAATTAAATAAAAACATAACTGAACTCTAAGATGAAAAACAATTTGTTATGACTGCCCGGTGGCCAGAATTTTTTCCTCAGAGCCTGTGGCCTGCATTGTCTGCAACACTCAGGCCCAGTGGGCCTCAAACTTCTGACCAGTTTTACAGGGTCTGCAACATATTCCATCTCTCAACAACCTAACACAACAACCTCCTCTCTGAAATGACCTCTCTATTCTACGCATATCCATTCCTTCATTAACTTCAAAACTGATAGTCACTTCATTATCAAAAGAAGCACTATCAGATGAACCTCTCCCATATTTTTAACTTTACTCTGAATATGTTTCAGCACTGCCAACACATTTACACACATATCAAGAATTAACTGTGAACAACTTATTAGAGATTCAAATATTCTTACATCATTTAACAAGTGTCTTATTTTACCATTATTATAAACATTTATTTATTGCCCAGCATATATAAACATATTTTGAGCAGCAAAATCCATTAATATTCCTTAAAAGTAATTTTCTCTCTCTACTCCATGTTCTTCCTTTTTAAAACGCAAAATTATCACGCCAACAAAGATTTAACTAAAGCTTGTTTTTTTTCAAGAAGGTAAATGAACGTTTTAAGAGCAAAGTGGACAGCTAAAAAAGTTTAAAGCAAACAAACAAAGCTTGAAAACTGAAACCTGAGATGATCACCTTCTCTCATTAAGGAGCCCTCTTAGAGCAATCATTATCAAAGTGCAATTCACATACCAGCAACATCAATATAGATTATTGTTGTTAAATGCCATTGAGTCAGCTCTGATTCACAGTGACCTATATAGGGTTTCTGAACTTGTAAATCTTTACAGTAGCAGAAAGCTTCATCTTCCTCCCACTCAGCATAGACTGTTGTTGTTATAGATTGTTGTTGTTGTTAAGTGCCATTGAGTTGGTTCCAACTCATAGTGAATAAGTATAGAGTTCCAAGGAGCAGCTGGTGAATTTGAACCACCAACCCTGTGGGGTTCAAACCACTAACCCTATGGTTCAAACCAACCTTGCAGGCCTGCACTTATCCTACAGTGCCACATCAGGTCTCCCTGTTATAGACTGTTGTTGTTGTTGTTGTTGTCAGGTGCCATCAAGTCGGAACCGACTCATAGCGACACCATGCACAGCAGAACAAAA